TGTCGGCTCAGCGCGGCAGCCATGTAAATTTAAATGAAGCGGCAATTATTTAAATCGCCGCTTCATTTTACTATGTCGGGTAGCCTAATCTACATTCCTCTGTCGCCAGAGGCATGTAGTCTAGACGTACCCCTAGTTTCTAGCAGTCAGATGTTTAAGGAGCACCTAAAGCACAAGGTTGCATCCCTGGTCATCTAAACTAATAGACATGGGTGGACCTGCACTTCAGGAACTTACCTAATTCTTCTGGGAACCCAGTTATGCTTTTGGCCTTTGCAACCTCCACTGGCAATGGGGTTCACAGGATGACTGTGCATTGTGTGAAGGAGTTCTCCTACTGCCTATTCATTTCATTGGTTATTCTCTGGTTCTTGCGTTCTGTGGAGGGGCAAATGACACTTCCTTATTCATATTCTCCACACCAGTCATGACTGTATTGACCTCTTTCATAGCCCCCTGCCAGTCATTTCTTTTCCAGCTGACAAGACCGTCTTCTTTAATCTTTCCCCATCTGGAAGCTGTTCCATACTCATGTTCATTTTTATTGCCCTTCTCTGTACTTTTCCCAATTCTAATAAGTTTTGAGATGTGGTGACCAGAACTGCACAGTGTTCAAAGGGCAGGCAAACCACGGATTTATATAGTGACATATTTTCGGCCCTATTACCTATACTTTTCCTAATGGTTCTGATACTTTACAATCAGCTAAAATAAAGCATGGAGTAATTGAATTGGAATACACATTGCTATACCTCAAGGTCAACTTATTGTTTTCAATAGCATGCATGAAATCACAGCCACATAACTTTGAACACCTTGGCTGCGTCTAGACTGGCAAGTTTTTCCGCAAAAGCATCTGCTATTGCGGAAAAACTTGCCAGCTGTCTACACTGGCCGCTTGAATTTCTGCAAGAACACTGACGATCTCATGTAAGATTGTCAGTGTTCTTGCGGAAATGCTATGCTGCTCCCGTTCGGGCAAAAGCTCTCTTGTGCAAATGCTTTTGTGCAAGAGGGCCAGTGTAGAAACACGGTATGGTTTTGCGCAAAAAAGCCCTGACGGCAAAAATGGCGATCGGGGCTTTCTTGCGCAAAACCGCGTCTAGATTGGCACGGACGCTTTTCCGATCTAGACGCTCTTTTCCGCAAATGCTTTTAATGGAAAAGCTTTTCTGTTAAAAGCATTTGCGGAAAATCATGCCAGTCTAGATGTAGCCCTTCAGTTAGTGTTCTGGAAAACAAAACTTTAATTAAGACCTTACTTAATATCATTTAGCCTATTATCACACTGCCTTGTAGCGTGACCCTGCCATATCTCACAAGCTAAGTTGGTTTTGCTGGGTAAACCTCCAAAAACAGTTAGGCTACGTCTACACAGCCCTCTCTTGTGCAAGAAAATATGCAAATGAGGCGAAGGGGTGAATATTGCCGTGCCTCATTTGCATACTTAATGAGCCGCCATTTTACGCAAGGGGCTTTTGCACAAAAAACTCCCTCTTGTGCAAGAGGGATTTTTTGCGCAAAAAGGAGCCGTGCAGATGGCTCCTTTTTGTGCAAAAGCCCCTTGCGTAAAATGGCGGCTCATTAAGTATGCAAATGAGGCATGGTGATATTCACCACTTTGCCTCATTTGCATATTTTCTTGTGCAAGAGAGGGCAGCGTAGATGTAGCCATAAGTTATAACAGGAAATTATGCTTGTGATTCAGTACATGTTTCTCTTTCTTAGACTGTCTTGAAATCATTGCCCCTGTACAGTGTTAGGAGACAATGTGTAGGTGGATATGCTGTTTTGGGGATGCACCTGCTTGCAGTTGTTAACGACATCTAGGGGCATCTTTAGGGAAAGGAGACACTTTACTAAAATCTGGGCAACGTCTAGTATATTTTACCTGTTTAGACTTTTCCAACACTTTTGGGGATTCTATGGGTACTTGAGTAATAAAATGTGAATTCTTCACTTCTATCCCTAAGCCATTGTGTATTTCACATTACCATGTGCTGCTAAACATGTATGTTCATCTCTAGAAATAAGCAAAATAATCAGTTTCCTTCTCATTTCATGAAGCTATTAGGGAGGATATTTAAAGTTTGCAAAGCATTTTGAGGTCCCCATCTGAAATCCATGTTTCATACACCCCCAATCCCTGTTGTATCTGAAAGCCTTATGCAGTTCTTCATGAACACAGAGGCAGCGTCTAGATTGGCATGATTTTCCGGAAATGCTTTTAACGGAAAAGTTTTCTGTTAAAAGCATTTTCGGAAAAGAGCGTCTAGATTGGCACGGACGCTTTTCCGGAAAAGCACTTTTTGCGGAAAAGTGTCCGTGACAATCTAGATGCGCTTTTCCGCAAAAAAGCCCCGATCACCATTTTCACCATCGGGGCTTTTTTGCGGAAAAGAAATCTGAGCTGTCTACACTGGCCCTTTTGTACAAAAGCTTTGCGCGTAAGGGACTTTTGCCTGAACGGGAGCAGAATTGTATTACCGCAAGAAGCACTGATTTCTTATAGTAGGAAGTCAGTGCTTTTGCGGAAATTCAAGCGGCCAGTGTAAACAGCTGGCAATTTTTTCCGGAAAAGCGGCTGATTTTCCGGAAAAACTGGCCAGTCTAGACACAGGCAGAAAGTTCTTGGGTTTTCTGTTTGCATCATTCAGTCAACAGGATTCTGGTGTTTTTGCTCAGAAACTCTGAATGTGATCTGCCCTTTTAGTGGCTGGTGGAGGTGGGGACCAGAATCAGCTGGCTCTGCTCAAGAGAGCAGCCCAGGAGGCAGGTGGTGTTCTAGCTGAACAGGACCTCAGCTGAGCAATATGAAGGAGGGCCCAACCATATGAGAAAACATGCTCCTTTCCTTCCATTGGTTTTTCCCATTCTCCTCTAATCAGAACAGCTGACTGGGGGTTTGAACTCTTCATCAACTTGTTGTGTGTGTTACTTTTGCACATTTTTCTTTCTTTCTTTGCAAAGAAAACGAACAGCTCCCTGAGGAAAACTGAGTGTGGTTGTTTGTCCCCAGCTGATGACCAGGGACCCCAGCCTGCATGTGGCACACAATGCAGACAGAGATTGCTGTGTTCATAGAGCAGTATGAATCCTGAACCTCTCATGAAGTGGATGGAAGAGCAACAGCAACACCAGCAATGGATTCTGGCATTGAAGCAGAAGCAGACTGTGAGGGACTCCAGAAAGATCTCACTAAACTCAGTGATTGGGCAACAAAATGGCAAATGAAATTTAATGTGGATAAGTGTAAAATAATGCACGTCGGGAAAAATAACCCCAACTATACGTATAGTAAGATGGGGGCTAATTTGGCTATGACAAATCAGGAAAGAGATCTTGGAGTTACCGTGGATAGTTCTCTGAAAACTTCCACACAGTGTGCAGCGGCGGTCAAAAAGGCAAATAGGATGCTAGGAATTATTAAGAAAGGGATAGAAAATAAGACATAGAATATCTTGCTGCCCTGTATAAAACTATGGTACGCCCACATCTTGAATACTGAGTATAGATGTGGTCTCCTCACCTCAAAAAAGATATTTTGGCCTTGGAAAGGGTTCAGAAAAGGGCAACTAAAATGATTAGGGGTTTGGAACGGGTCCCATATGAAGAGAGGTTAAAGCGACTGGGACTTTTCAGTTTAGAAAAGAGGAGACTGAGGGGGGATATGATAGAGGTATAAAATCATGAGTGGTGTGGAGAGGGCAGATAAAGAAAAGTTATTTATTAGTTCCCATAATAGAAGAACTAGAGGTCACCAAATGAAATTAATGGGTAGCAGATTTAAAACTAATAAAAGAAAGTTCTTCACACAGCGTGTAGTCAACCTGTGGAACTCCTTGCCAGAGGAGGCTGTGAAGGCTGGGACTATAACAGAGTTTAAAGAGAAGCTAGATACTTTCATGGAGGTTAGGTCCATAAAAGGCTATTAGCCAGGGGATAGAAATGGCGTCCCTGGCCTCTGTTTGTCAGAGGCTGGAGAGGGATGGCAGGAGACAACTCGCTTGATCATTGTCTTCGGTCCACCCTCTGTGGGACACCTGGTGCTGGCCACTGTTGGCAGACAGGCTGCTGGGCTAGATGGATCTTTGGTCTGATCCAGTACGGCTGTTCTTATGTAAGCAGCTACAAATACAGCTGCATCTATTCTAGCAGAAGGAGCAGTAATTCAGGCTTTAGCTATTAGCTTAGGATCCCCAGGATCACAGGCTGGTACAGGGCATAACGTGGGAGGGAGAACTGCTCATTAGAATGGGCCCAGAAGATGACCTGGAGGCCCTGAGTTTGAATTTGCTTGGTGCATCCTTCCCTGTCATCACTTCCTGTGCCTTGCTGCAGGGGTTGCATGCTATGTGGGAGATAACCCCCAGATTGACACAATGGTACCTAGCCCTACAGCCATGTTTTTAAAGAGAGCCAGCAGTCTGGTGACACGACAGTGAATGCAGCTTTTTTTTTCTGCACCCGGGAGGAGTTAAAGAGTGTCTCCCCAATGTCAGTCTTTTTGGGGGAGGAGGGTAACAGGACAACCTGCCTCTTTAATGGCTCAAGTAGAGGTGATCCTGCCCCAGAGAGGAGCCCAGCAGAAAGGTGCTGGGAATCAGCTGATGGAAAGGAACAATTCTTCATGAATGGACCCAGTTCCATGAAAGGCTGGGGGGACATTAGGAAAGTAGGGAGCACATTTTCCTATAGCTAGGGCCAGAAGCAGTAAGCACCCACCCCTAGGTTAAGTGAAGGGCCTGTTCAGTTGCTATTCTTCACCACAATTGTTACTTTTACACTTTTTTCCTTTTTCTTTGTGAAGAGGCTAAACAGAGCCCTGCAGAAAGGGACAGACACAGGGCTGACTTTGTCCCCAGAAGATGATTAGAACCATAAGCCTATGCTATGGGGGGAGGGTGATTGTTCTTACAAGGTGTTTAGTACCCTGAGTTCCTCGTGAAATCAACTGAACTATAAATTCTTTGCCTGTCACAGGACTGGGCCTCTTAAGTGTAAATTATAATTCCCTACAAAGAGGAAATTAAATAATAATCCTAAAGGGGAAAATGAAGTTATACTGAAAAAAAAAATGAGAGCCCTGTAGATAAAATAAGCAGATGAATTTCAAACTGTTAAATTTTTGGCAAAACAGTGCAGCATAGAGGAAATCATTAGTTAAATATTGAAAGGTATTGGAAAGAGGGTATAAGGAGTGAAAAATAAAGTTTAAAAAAGGAACCCGTGCTTTTATTTTGTGTATTTGATAGTTAACAGATGTTAATATACACACAACCTGAAGAACATACGTCTTGATTTGCAGCAAGAGGCTGATAATACATGACACATTGTAATTATGTCAAATCCAAATTCCACACCTAATCAAATGTGAACATCTCTTCTTTGTGCCCAGAGGTGAAAGTAAGTGGGTGTGCGCTAGTGCGCAGCTCTGGCAAGAGCTGGCTGAGCTGTGGCAAAAGCCAGCAGGAAGCTATTTAAAGAGCTGTAGGGTCCCTAGTTGCAACAGGACAGTACCTGTAAGAAATTTTAAGTTACTTTCACCCCTGCTTCTGCTTAAGGCCTTGTATAAATCAGCCAATGGTACAGCTTGGATTTGATTATGCCCTTTCTTGCTCCTTTCCCTCCAATACTGGCCTTCTCCAGTTTCCTTTCTCCTTCTCTTTGGCATGGCCAACTGCAATAGGCCAGGCCTTCACCCTAATCCCTCACTTCTCCCATGAGTTCTGCAAAAACTAATCTGTGTCAAATAGTCGTCTTCACATTTTATTCAGAGGAAACAAGCAAACCAAAAGTTTTCCACCAACACTTTGCACTACGTGTCCTACCCTGTATAGAGTATTTTTTAGAATCCTGTATAGAGAAATGCATAAGTTGTTCTGAGACAGTTCCCATGCACCTGATCCTGTACCATCAGTTTTATTTCTTGACTTTTTTCCCCATTGGGGTAGCCAAAGTCAAGGTCTTTTCTTCACTTCATTGTTATCCTGACTAGTGCTCAGATTTAAGCACTTGAAGCAATTTGGAATGATTTATTTTTCTGATAAACTGCCAGAGGAATTAAAGGGCGAAAGGCAGAGTGACTGTGTAATTAGTAAGTAAAAGTAAAACATGTTGTTTCTAGTACAAATCTTTATTCATTTTGTAATACCTGTGTTTCTGCAGCTCTATGGAGTTATCTGCTCCTATCGTACTCCATCAGCCTTTTCCCCCAACTCCTTTTCCAAACGTGTAAGCTTTGTATTCATCATAGGCAAGGGCTGTCAGAGCAAGGCAGGCATAGTATAGTGTTCAGGAAACTTCCCCACATAACTCTGCCTATGAACCTCAATGTGAATTTCCAGCTGCTACAGTAATTTAGTCCTGCCAAAGATGTTTTAAAATATACTGTGGTTGTGCAATCTGCATAAATGGGAATTCAGGAGGAGCTCAAACTCATTTCCATCTCTTACCCAAGGCACGATTAGAACCCAATACTGTTAATTCTCTTATGAATCTCTTTATTAGCCACTCACGGCCACAGTACTGCCAAGAGACCAACTGAAATACAGCACGTCTGTTCTCTGACACCTGTGTTACATGTATCAGACCGTACCTAGCCATTACGCAAAGGGAGAGCCATCATTTAACAAATTAGTAAGAAATCATGGCACAGGTAAGGTTTGGATAGATTTATACGTCTTTAATAATGAGGAAAAGGGATGTTTCCTGTTCAACCTTTTCCATCCATAGCAGTATTCCAAAGCCCATTTTTTTGCATGTTCAGCTCTGACATTTAAGTAATATTGCACGATGTTCCTTAACAGCATTGTGTAATGATTGGTGACACCCAACTCCCCATCAAACAGGTGATTGTTTAACTCAGAGAAAAGGTGACATTGTTCAGATAACTCGCATAATATTTTCTGTTTTAAATACGCATCCTGTTGCTCAAGGTTTGGGTTACAGTCTTTCACTCTTGCATGCATTTTCAGGACTTGCTCAGAAATAGTCACAATCCGACGCACACTCTCAGATGGTAGACTCCAGCCCCCACTCTTTTTAATACACAATAGTGAACCAGATTTTAGGATTATATTATCTGAAACAAAGAGTGAAGTGACACAGGCTTCACATCTTATGACAGCTGCTAACTTCTCAGCAACACAACCAGCAGCATAGGTCATGCCTTCTGCATATAGGGACAGATCTGTCAATGAATAACCCAGTGCAGAGTTAAATAAAATATGGCCCATACAGAAAAGGTAGTCTGTTGATGGACTCTCCACGTAACCCCGCCTGTATTGAGAATGAATGGTATGTAGAGACAAATCTGTCCTACGAACAATAGATACATCTAAGGTGTTCATGTCACCTAAAACAGCATTCTGAAGTAATCCTGGTATCATCTTATACTTGGTCAGCAGTTTACAATAAGCAGTCTGGAACATCCTGCAGGTAGGGTTATCGCTGCAAGCACATGCTTGTCTGAGGGTGCTAAGAAATAATTCCAGATGATCTAGGCTGAATGTGTAAGTCAGAAGGCAGCGGAAAGGCATGCTCTTTGGAAATACATAATTTGTGTAAAGCCATTTTAAGCTCTCAGCATTAAGCAAAAAACCTAGAAACCCTAATTTATGTTTACCTTTCAGAAAGTGTCTCCCCAAAGTGTCTGTTAATGCAATAAAGACATTTTTAGCCTCAGTTAAGAGGTGATTTATCTTGGCATAATTTTCAGAGGATACAGGCCCTTTCAATCCTGTTCCATAACAGTTTCTTCCATGAAAAATGTCAAACAGAGAGCTCATCAAGCGCACAAATTTGATGGTACCGCTGCAGTTCTGAAAAGAAGGCAGGCCCAACTGCTGGAGGCATTCCAATGTGCCAGCGACACTCTCACTGAATAGCTGTGCAGCGTAGTTCACTCGCAAGTGACAGCTTTCACTATTTCTGTGCTCGCCTGACAACCTGTCACTAATATGTAGGAATTCCTTCTCCTGCAAAGTCACTAGGTCCACTATGTGTTGCCAGTGTGCTGTTTCATTAACGGACTGTATGCTATGAGAACACTGAAACACGTTCTTTATTAACTGGAGCATATGGCAGGCATCAAAGAAGTATGTGATCTGATGAGTGGTGCTGTGTGGATGCTGAAAAGTGCACTGTATGTTGTTGGCATCAATACGTATGCCCAATGCCTTTGCCATCTCAACACCGTGAGCAGTAGCCGCAGACGTGACAGAGAGAACTGTGATGCCTATGCTGGTCAGCTTGCTGATGGTCTGACAAAGCAGTTGAGCTAGTAAATGCCCAGAGGTTCCATTTACAAAGAAATAGCCCAGGGGAGCTCTCCAGTGATCAAGAACACCTACTGCCATTAGGACTACGGCTTCTGAGGCCAGGGGTGCTTCATCAGCATCAAGCGCTCCTGCGCCTAAGTCTATAAACCCAACCTGACGTTGAGTGACCGGGTCCCACTCCAGCTGTCTCTTGAGAGCCATATCTTCTATCATCAGTGAGCAGTACTGGTATGCCTGTTCTCCTCGCTCTACTCTCTGCTGAAGGTGAAGGAAAATACTGCTGCTAAAGCCTGGACTACCTTCATCATTGCACAACCAGCTGGAAGAAAGACAACAGAAATGATTAGGAGCTATAACCTACGGGGAAAAAACTGCTAACAAGCTTTAGGACTTAGTAAAGTGCTCATCCAATTTTAATGCAAATTAAAATACAGTAAATGTCCGATAATCCGGCACCTTTGGGACCCAGGGGGTGCCGGATTATTGGATATGCCAGAATACCGGAAGGGGGGCTATGAAAGGTCTGGGGAGGAAGGGGGTCGGCAAAGAACGGTGCAGCGTGGGCAGCACTCCAGCAGCTCTGCCCCCAGCTTCCCCAAGTCTGCCGCTGGTCAGTTTCAGCAGCAGCGGACTTGGGGAAGCTGGGGGCAGAGCAGCTGGGGTGCTGCCAGGTTGGTCCTACAGCGCCGCCCCTCACCTGAGCGGTGCTGCGGGACCAACCCGGCAGCACCCCAGCTTCTCTGCCCCTGGCTTCCCCAAGTCCACTGCTGCTGAAACTGACCTGCGGCGGACTTGGGGAAGCCGGGGGCAGAGCAGCTCCAATTGTCCGGCTGGCCAGAGCACTTCCGGGTTCCAGCTAGTGCCGGACTATCGGGAGTGCTGGACCACTGGATGCCGAACAACTGGAGTTTTACTGTACATAGCATCTATAAAGTAATAAGGCGTACCTGAATAAGAGGTTTTGCAGTCTGAAACTTAACAGTACTTTCCTACAGTCCAACTTTCATTTTTTCCTCCACCTGCCAGATGTTCTGGCATTCTCTGCAATGTTCCCTTTTTTGCCTGATATTATTTTTGTATATTTATTTCATGCTGCCCTGTATGCTTGGAACAACTTCTATCCTATTTCCCCTTTTCATTTAGTACATATGGTTGGCCTCCCATCATTACATGGAAACACAAGAACTGTGTCCCATCTAGTTCAGGACCTGTCTGATGATGACCAGGAAGAAACCCATAGTATGCAGATGTGAGATTCTGTCCCATATGAAGGTCTCATTCTGAACTCTAATAAGCGGAGACTGGTAAATCCCAAAGCATGAGATTTTTATCCCTTCCAAAACTTTTTTGGATGTCTAACAGTTTCTTACAAATTCTTTGGATGTCCAATAGAATCTTAAAAAAATTCTTGACCTCCTGTGGCAATGAGTTTTACTCTCTAATATTAGCTTTACACAAAGTGTATTTTTGCCTATAAATGTTGATGTTGTACCTTCTTGTGTCCCTCTGTTCTTGTGTTACATGAGTCAGGGAGAACAGAAACATCTAATCTCCTTCCTCTATAACATTATTTCATATGCTTTTAAGCATGTCCCCTCTTATTCTCCTTCCTCCTAGGGAGAACAATCCCAATCTTTTCCATCTCTCCTCACAGGAAAGTGTTTTTCCATGCCTGTAATTATTCTCCTCTCCCTTCTCTGAACACGTCTAACTTTGCAATATCTTCTGGATGACCAGAGCTACTCAGAGAACTCTAAACATGGGCACTGATCTCTTCTTGTACAGTCTGCTCCCTACCCCAGGACTGATCTTTATAGTTCACTTTCCAATATTTGTCACAGTCCTCTTCCTATTGAAATCAATGGGATGCTTCCTACTGATATTAGTGGGATAAGGATATGGATCTTGGAGACTGTAAACTTCTCATGTCAGGGATGTGGTCATGCTTTTTGTTTGCCAAGTTCCATGTATGCCCATGGCAATATGTAAATAATAGTAGTGAAAGCAGTGAAGTATTTTAGTTTTGTTCCCTCTTTGTATCACATGCTGAAATTAATACAGATATGTAGAAAGTCAAGCACTTAGAAGATGTATTACTTTATGATGCAATTGTTCTGCGTAGCCTTCTCCTCCACGCAATAACATTCTCTCTGACGTGAGTTAATACAGGTTAAACTTTTCTAGACCAGCATCCTTGGGACCTGACTGGTGCCAAATCAAAGAATTTGCAGAACAATAGGAGGTCAATATTGTCTAGCAGCATTTCCACTGCTCACTGGGCATTAAGAAGACCCAGGAGGTAAATTAGAGCTAAATAACAGCACAGAATGCTGAGAGTCAGGCCTGGTGGCTGTAAACAAGCTTTATGGGACTGCAGGAAACTTGGCCACACCCACAATATGTGGACATCCAGCTAACTAAAATCATGCCAGACAATAGATGTTGCCAAACTAGAAATGTTCAACCTGTATTCTTGTAGCAATTGCAGCCTATTCTGTTTAGCCTCCTTGTTACAAATAATAATGTAAGACAATAGTGATTAACTGTTTTTTTAACTAACTCTATATTCCGAACACTCCATCTCTTACTTACTATAGGACAACCTAGAAATATAACTCGAGGTAAAGAGAATACTCACTTTGTCAGGCTGGAAGGATGGGGCAAGGGAAAATTCTTTCTGACATAATCATAGGCCTTACTATGATAGAGATGGAGAGTACAGACAAACTGCTTCATTTCAGTGGAGTACTCGGTCATCTGTCTCCATCTGTATGACTCCCAGTGCAATTCTGTTTTTAAAAATATAGATCAGCTTTAGTAAGAATCATGAACAGGTTTTTTCATTTAACTGTGATGAAAAATGCTTCTAATCTTCAGGCCATGAGATATACAAGCAAAAAGAATAAGTCTTGTTTGACAAAGCACAAGCCTAATGGGTAAGGGCCTTCACTCAAATACAGATTTACTGATGTGTTCTCTCTCTCTTTTACAAAAAGGGGACAGGGAATTAAATCCACTAAAACCCGATCAGAATTCCCTCAATTATGCTAGCAATAAGGTGGGCAAATACTGGCCCACCGGCAGGATGCAGTATACCAGCGTTGGAGGGATCCTAGCTCCTACTGGCCATGAATCAGCATTCCCAGCCAAAGGGAGCTGTGATTGGCTGTACCTGCGGAGGTGCAGGTAAAAAAAGTGGCAGCAGTCCACCACGGGCTAACCCTGGTGAACGGCCGCTGTTCTGCTCATCCCTGTGCTAGCCGCTTTCTCTGGGTATTGCAGTGTATTCTGTCTTATCCTTATTCTAGGCATTTAATATTTAACATTACTAACAACAAAGATATCCCAGTTTTCCTGATACCTTAATGCTTCACTGCCTTTAAGGACCTACCTCACAACCAACATCCTTCTAGTGAAGGAGGACAAAATATGACTCTATTCAGAGAGGATCAATGCAGTTCCAGAATTAGATGGAAAAAGCTGCTTTGAGATTTACAGATGAAAAATGGCATACAAGTACTAGATATTGCTATTCATGACCCAGATAGCATTAAAGCAATTAAAATGTTTTTTCTCCTATTATCAAAGTGAATAAAGTGATAATTTTCTAAACACTTCGGCTACGTCTACATTGGCAAGATTTTGCGCAAATACTTTTAACACAAGAGTTTTTGTGTTAAAGTATTTGCGCAAGAGAGCGTCTACACTGGCATGTGCTTTTGTGCAAGAGATGTGCTTTTGTGCAAAAGCATCCATGCCCGTGTAGACTCTCTATTGTGCAAGAAAGCTCCGATGACCATTTTAGCCATCGGGCTTTCTTGCGCAAGAAATTAATGTTGCCTGTCTACACTGGCCTTTTGTGCAAGAACAGTTGCACAAGAGGGCTTCTTCCTGAGCAGGAGCATCATAGCTCTTGCGCAAGAAGCACTGATTTCACACATTAGAACGTCAGTGTTCTTGCGCAAGAACTCTCCACCAGTGTAGACAGGCAACAGGTGCTTTTTGCACAAAATCATGCCAATGTAGACACAGCCCTCACGAGGGAGAGAGGAATAAAAGGTTTCCCTACTTAAACATAATTTAGATATCAAGCTTGATTTTCTTAAATCTGAACATGTTTATTCAATAAAGCCTCACATTACACACTGTTCTGGGGTACAGTCCACTAAAGGTGGCAGTAGATCAACTCATCTTGAGCTCAGTATGAGTTGAGGAAGCTAAATTCCTTGGAGAAATGGGCCCATATTATGTAACTTTAGGAACCAATTTGAGATGCAGTATCTTCAAGAAAAAGACTTTGGTGGTGACTCTCTCGTTTTAATATTAAAATAGAGCCTAGAAATCCCCAAATGAAGTCAGGGCCCCAGTGTGCAAGGCACTGAAAAAAATGTAGCTTCTGCACTGGAGAGTTTACTGTTTAACCAATGCCCTTAATACCTGAAAACTGAGCCTGCAGCAGGCTCACAGCTTCTTCATAGAGCAGCTTCTTCTTTGCAAGCTCACTGATTACACTAAAAACCTTTCGTCCTTGGTAGGAGAGACACCTCCGTGTTGTAATAAGTTTCTTTTTAGGAAACTGTACTATTTTTGTAACTTCTGTCTGCTGTTCAGCAGTCACTGCAAGATTCTGTAAGCTATAGTTGTGATCTGCAGTAATGACCTCCTCATCAGCAGAATTATATGAAAGTGGCTGCTTTAATGCTTTCTGGGATCTTCTATTTCTAAGATACGTACTCCAAGGATCCTACAATACAGAAAAGAATATGGGGCTTATTATGGTGGGGAATACTTGAAACAACTGCACAGTAAAAGTGAAATAATGAAAATACAACCAATAATTTGGCTGACAGAAAAACAAGAAGTGTTTATATTTCTAGGTAATGTCTTTTCTGGACACCCTCCGCCATATCTCAATGCTAGATGCTGTAATTTTTTCTGGCATGATATTATTGTCTCCAGGTACTACACAGGACAAAAAAGATACAATCAGATCTCAACAGTCTAAGGGTACGTCTAGACTACATGCCTCTGTCGCCAGAGGCATGTAGATTAGGCTACCCGACATAGTAAAATGAAGCGGCGATTTAAATAATCGCCGCTTCATTTAAATTTACATGGCTGCCGCGCTGAGCCGACAAACAGCTGATCAGCTGTTTGTCGGCTCAGCGCGGCAGCCATGTAAATTTAAATGAAGCGGCGATTATTTAAATCACCGCTTCATTTTACTATGTCTGGTAGCCTAATCTACATGCCTCTGGCGACAGAGGCATGTAGTCTAGACGTACCCTAAATAAATGGTTTCTAGACTTTTACTAAGGGGAACATCTGTGACCCATTGTTGTGAAAATGCACCTTCCACCTTGGACCTCAAAGCTGATCCAATGAAAAGGGGAGAACCCAATGGGCAAAGGTGGTGGGTTAGAGAGTGAGCCTGCCCCACATTTACCTTCCAGTGGCAGCTCCTTTGCACTTGGGCTGGACCCAGCTCCCCAATCCAGGTGTTGCAAGGGATCCACGGATGTTACATAGCATGTAACTGAATAGTCATGTAACTGCACAAAATGTTAGCGGTTACACGATTATTCCAACACAGAGCAGCCTCCGTCCATGGACAGCTTGGAACTCCCCC